TCCAGACACGTGGCGTAACCCTAGCTCCACAAGCAAATCTTGGACTCGAGCTTTCGAGTTATCGAGTCCACCGGGAAGACGTAAACGGGCGCTATAAAGGAGGGTTTCTTCGACTGTAAGAAGTGGAAATAGTAAGTCTTCTTGGGTTACGTATCCTGAGACTCGCCGGAAAAAAGTTGTATTCATTGGCCGGTCATTGACGAGCACTTCGCCGGAGAGCCGGCAGGGAGGGATAACTCCCCCAAGAACCTCGATCAATGTCGTTTTGCCAGCACCACTTGGACCAGCAATCGCCGTGATTTCTCCTGGTGTCACTTCGCAGTTGACATCTCTCAGAATCTGCTTCTTTAAGATGGGATTCACCTTATGCTGACTAAGCCAACCAAATTGAAGGTATGTCGGAAATATCCCATAAGAAACGCTTTTTGCATTGATTTTGTATTGGGTTTTCAGGTTACAAAAATCTGCTGACTGCACTTGAAAAACCATTGATAGGTTGTGATATAGAAAGAAAAGATGAAGGGAATTTGATTATAAAGAAAACGTTTGCACTCATCGTCTTTCTGCCACCATTTCATATATATATATATATATATATATATATATATATATATATATATATATATATATATTATATATATATATATATATATATATATATATATATATATATATATATATAGTTAAAGATTCAAATGAGAACCAAAAAAGAATAAGAATTATAAGAATCATTACCTGATGCATCTAAAACTTATTAACTTCAACTTCCCTTTTAACATTTAGAACAAAAACCTTCATTTATATCCTTCAACCACCAATCTGATGAACACCACCACTCTCATCGCTTGTTGCGCCACCGCCACCACTGGTGACGACGGATTCACCACCACCAGTGATGATGTCTCCACCACCGATCTACCAGATCCACCTTCAGATCTATGATTTTTGACGCTAGATCTACAATTTCCTCCTTCAGATCTATAAGTTTTTCAGCTAGATCTCATGATGTGGAAGGAGTTCTGATGGGATCTCGAGACGTGGAAGGATTTCCGAGAAAATCTAATGTTCAGACAAAGGAGTTCCGGTGGAATCCAAGCCGACACCGGTGCCGCCATCTAGATGTGCGATTTCCGCTATAGATCTATGAGATCCACCACCATTCAACCACTATAGAACCACCAGTAGTGTCTTCCTCCTTAAAATCTATAAGTTTTGCTACTAATCGCTACTAGCAATGACGATTACAATGTCACTGACTATTGACGAGGCCAGTTACACGAGCACAAACATCCGACGAGACCAAATATATGAGATCTTACGAGTGGCAAAGCAAGATCATTAAGATTTGGTGGTGTTGTTACAACCAATGTGTCACTCATCATCTTCTTCACATCAGGTATATTATGATGAGCTTATATGAGTGTTTTTAAACCTCTGTACAATTATCTTCATGTTTATTTATTGTGTTTTACATCTTACTCCATTTTTGCTACCTATTATGTGTTAAAAGGCTTAGTAAAAATCAGAATCAAGAAACATTTCATGATGCACACAATGTGTATGATGATTTGCCTGAATAAAAATTTGAAACTGCAAATAGTGTTTGTTGTACATTAAGTTGTGAATTAGTGTATAAAACTTATGTATTAATATTTGAATAAACTAAATCCTACTGTGTTTTTTTTTTTTAATTTTTTAATTTTTTAATTTTTTATTTATGAATAGTTTGAGTTGTATAAGTATTGTGAATGGTTTTTTGATGCACATAAGGTGTTTGATGATTTGTGTGAATGAAAATTATAAAATTTGAAAAGTGTCTTTAAGTTGTGAACACTTTAAATGAGTGTCATAAACTGCTTTCTTAAACTGTGAAGTAAAGTTTTGAAATATGAGTTTTAATTTGAGAATATAGTAATAAATGTATAATTTTTATGTATTAAACATAAAATTTATTATACTAAGTAGTGAATTTGTGTATTAAACTGTGAATTGACTGTATTAAGAATTTTAGGTTGATAATATGGATGTGAATTTATACTTTTGTGTATTAAATTTTGAATGTATTGTAATAAGTTGTGAATTTTATGTATTAAGCAATGATTTTTATGCTTTAAACTGTGAATTAACTGCATTATCTATGAAATTTTGTTTAAACTGTGCATTAACTGTATTAAATTGTGAATTTTTTGTATTACATTGTCATTTTTGTGTTTAAAAATGTGAATTAATTGCATTAATTTGTAAATTTTCTATTTAAACTGTTAATTGACTGTATTAAACTGTGAATTTATAATGAATTCTATGTTAAAATATAAATGATTTACATGAGGATGTTTTTTTTTTAGTTTTCTTGTGAATATATTTATTTTTTTGTGAATTTTGTTTTTCTTTTTGTTTGTTTTGTTTTTTCTGTTTTTTTTTTTTTTTTTTAATACGTTGTGTATTTTAATGTTCGAAATATGAAATTAAGCTATGAATTAGTGTCTGAAATGTTTCATCA